GGGGCCTTCAGAGCTCCGAGATACTGGTGTGGGACCCTCAGAGGTGTCGGTGTGGGTCCTTCAGATATACCTATAGAGCCTTGAGATACACAGGTGTGGTGGCCCACAGAGGCGCCGGTGTGGGGCCCCCAGATCCACCGATATAGGGCCCTAAGAGACACTAGTATGACCCTCAAAGGCGCCGCTGTGTGGCGCTCATTAACACTGGTGTGGAGCCATCACAGGCGGGTGGAGCCGTTAGAGGCCGGAAAGGGCCCTTTAGATGCCTACAAGGAGCCTTCAGAAGCCGGCGTGGCACCCTTATGGGGATAAGCGTGTCTACTTAGGAGCCCTTGAGGTGCTCTCATGAGCTCTATGGGGCCCTACCGAGCCGAAATATGGCCACGGCCAGTTGCCGCCGCATGGCTCTTCGGACTATCATTCTCAGGGGCCTCATCTGCCTAGTTTGAATAGAAGGGCCTCTCAGACAATCAGTATAATGGGCCTCCTCTGGCTAGTATAAATAGAAGGGCCTGTTAGACCATCAGTCCTAGGGGCCTCTTCTGGTTAGTATAAATAGAAGAGCCTCTTAGACTATAAAACAACGGAAGAAGAGCCAGCGGCAATACCTATCATGCCATCGTGTGCAATCCTAAGCAATAATCATGCAGTCGTATATCACACCAATCTATACTACTATTTGAACAGGATCCATCTGTTTGTTTGTCTGTCCGCCACGCCGTGTAGTGGGTTCAATTCCACTCGCCTACAGGGCAGACGGTATATCGTAGGGGGCTGAAATTTGCACACCTTATAGGTGACAGAGCGGGTCAGCGCCTTTTCTAGGTTCCGACTCGCTGGGGTGCACGGTTTGCGCGTGGCGCGCTCTGGAAGAACGCCAATGAAATTTTGATCGGTTCGTAGATCTTCATTGAGAGCCGGGGTCGACAAACTTTGTGGACTAAATGCATGCCGATCGGTGGCGGGTGCCTCGCATTGGCGGATCGGCAAGTTATTAATTTGAATGAAAAGTGGCGAGAGAATGTGTTGATTTTCATTCAATGGGAAAGGTTTGTGATACGAGTTTACAAATGCACCGCGTTTGCCGCAATGCGTCACATTGGTCACTACGCGCCCTTTTTGCCGCAAATCGCACAGTTTTGTCAAATATGGTCCGATATGGGTGCAATTTGGTGCCAAGATGCATGCTCAATCGCCGGGTGAAAATGCGCCGCGTTTGTCGCAATGCGCCACATATGCCACAAGGCGTCATTTCCGACAAATACGATTAAGCGTAATGGAATGGCACGAATAGGGGCAGGGCTGGGAACACTTTAAGTCTGATATTTTAGTACTGAATGGATCCAATTATTCTTTGACCTGGCATGACCCAGCGGTGTTGGTAGGGATAGGGGTAGGGGTAGGGGAAGGGGTAGTGGTAGGGGTAGTGGTAGGGGTAGTGGTAGGGGTAGGGTAGTGGTAGGGGTAGGGTAGTGGTAGGAGTAGTAGTAGGGGTAGGGGTAGTGGTAGGGGTAGTAGTAGTGGTAGGGGTAGTAGTAGGGGCAGTAGTAGGGGTAGTGGTAGGGGTAGTGGTAGGGGTAGTGGTAGGGGTAGTGGTAGGGGTAGGAGTATGGGTAGTAGTAGTGGTAGGGGTAGGGTTAGGGGTAGTGGTAGGGGTAGTGGTAGGGGTAGGGGTAGTGGTGGAGGCAAAAGCAGAACAGTGGCCCAGGCTGATCCCAGCGGACGAGAGGTGACCTATGTGACCTGGCCTGACCCAAAGTGACCGGGGCTGACCCCTTTGACCCGTCTTGACTCCGTATCACCCAAATTTCATCCCAAAACGCCCTCAGAACAGTTCTTTTTTAAATTCTCTTCACATTTCCGTCCATATCTATGCTTCTAGACGACACATCGACATGAATTAAACACCATTCGAAAGCAAATTGGCTGATGCCGCAATTTTTTCCTACCACGCAGCAAAGCAAGTGGCGCAGCCGCTTGTCTATATTACTATTTCAACAGGATCCGTCTGTTTGTTTGTCTGTCTGTCCGCCACGCCGTGTAGTGGGTTCAATTCCACTCGCCTACAGGGCAGACGGTATATCGTAGGGGGCTGAAATTTGCACACCTTCTAGGTGACAGAACGGGTCAGCGCCTTTTCCAGGTTTCGACTCGCTGGGGTGCACGGTTCGCGCGTGGCGGGCCCCGGAAGAACGCCAATGAATTTTTGATGGGTTTTTATATCTTTATTGAGTGCCGGGGTCGACAAACTTTGTGAACTAAATGCATGCCGATCGGTGGCGGGTGCCTCGCATTGGCGGATGGGCAAGTTTTAATTTGAATAAATAGTGGCGAGAGATTGTGTAGATTTTCGTTGAATGGCAACAGTTTGTGATACGAGTTTACAAATGCACCGCGTTTGCCGCAATGCGCCACAATTATCTCAGGGCGTCATTTTCGCCGCAAATCGCACAGTTTTGTCAAATATAGTCCGATATGGGTGCAATTTGGTGTCAAGATGCATGCTCAAACAACAGGTACAGAGGCGCCGCATTTGCCGCAATGCGCCACATTTGCCACAAAGCGCCATTTCCGACAAAATCGAGTAAGGGCAATGGAATGGCACGAATTATTCTGTGACCTGACATGACCCAACGGTGTTGGTAGGAGTAGGGGTAGGGGTAGTGGTAGGGGTAATGGTAGGGGTAGTGTAGTGGTAGTGGTAGGGGTAGGGGTAGGGGTAGTGGTAGGAGTAGTAGTAGGGGTAGGGGTAGTGGTAGGGGTAGGAGTATGGGTAGTAGTAGTGGTAGGGGTAGATGTAGTGGTAGGGGTAGGGGTAGGGGTAGGGGTAGGGGTAGTGGTAGGGGTAGTGGTAGGGGAAGTGGTAGGGGTAGTGGTAGGGGTAGTGGTAGGGGTAGTGGTAGGGGTAGTGGTAGGGGTAGGGGTAGGGGTAGTGGTAGGGTAGGGGTAGTGGTAGGGGTAGTGGTAGAGGTAGGGGTAGTGGTGGAGACAAAAGCAGAACAGTGGCCCGGGCTGATCCCAGCGGACGAGAGGTGACCTATGTGACCTGGCCTGACCCAAAGTGACCGGGGCTGACCCCTTTGACCCGTCTTGACCCCGCATCACCCAAATTTCATCCAACAACGCCCTCAGAAGTCAGAACAGTTCTTTTTTAAATTCTCTTCACATTTCCGTCCATATCTATGCTTCTAGACGACTGATCGACATGAATCAAACGCCATTCGAAAGCAAATTGGCTGGTGCCGCAATTTTTCCTACCACGCAGCAAAGCAAGTGGCGCAGCCGCTTGTCTATATTACTATTTGAGGAGGGCGTAGTTTCTGTCTATTACGAAGGTCGCGACATGGTGCTACGTAGCGCGGGTTACAGATCACACCGTTGCACCTACCGCGCTGAAATTTGCGCAAGTTATAGAACAAGGATGGACAACGTGCCTTTGAGCGGTCTCGGCTCGATCGGATCGATAGCGAGCGCGTGGCGCGTGCCCAAAAAGTGCAAATTCGCGTCATAGACTTTACATGTATAAATCGGCCTGCAAAATCGGGCGAAAATGGCTAAATTTGCTCGACACGGGTCCGGTTCCCGTGCAATATCTCGGTAACCGTGCGCCCGATCGTCACGGGGAAAACACCATCGTGTAGAAAATCGAACGGGCAATCGAATAGTGTGCGGTGCAGGGGTGGCACGCGCCACGTGCAAGTGTGAGGGCAATTTCATTTCAAAAAGTGCCATTTTAAACGGATTTTGGATTTTATTTTATTTTCACGTGACCGTCAGAATGAGTGAGTCAAAACAACGCCTATTCGCTGGAGAAATGTACCGCCTCTCATGAAAAATTGTGAAAAGCTAATTGATCAAAAACAAGGTGGAACAAATCGCTGGAGAAAATGGCATTTGCCCATATTGTGGCACTAAATAATTACACGGGGTTTGCTGCTTAACCTGATAAGTTTGACAATTGAAAATGCTATCATTAGAAAGAGCATTCAATTCTCTCCAAGATCCAATCATCACGTTTGCATGACAAGCAACAGTACTCTTAAAAGTATAAATGTTTCAAACTTCTGCAAAACCATTTTTAGCGAAAATTATCTACGCCTTTCATTTGTCTTAAAACTACGCACCTCAATTATAAAGCACATTTGACAGATTCTGAAGTGGAAAGCATGCTTATCAGACACGGGCACCTCGATGCGGTGGATATTCTTTCCAAACCAAATCATTTAGCCGTCAAAAAGCAATCGACCGAAATGGATAGATAACCCTACCGACACAAGAACAACCGAACACCCGCCGATCGAAAATATCCCTTTTCGCGTTGCGGAGCACGCGGGTCACCCTAGTGACTTACTCTTTTGGTAAAAAACCTTCTGATGTCCATGCTTCTTAAGTTCTTTCTCACCAGAGGCAGAATCCCAGATTAAACCATGATCTGTCGCCTTTCGGACCAAGGCCATCTATAGAAGGTACAGTCACTCCCCCGTCGACCAATCAGAGACAGATCCTGAGTGACGTCACCCCTGATGCTCGCAAGGGGTACTCCATTCCTTTACAACGTAAAAATGACTAACTTCATTTGAAGATTGTTGGTGACACTCTACTCATATTGCTCAACCGTTGATGTCATTGGAAAGACCAACTAATTTTCTAGCGATAAAAAAGAGCAGCAATATGCTAAGAAATGGCCGGTTTTGAAGATATAGACGATTTAAAAATCCTCCGCAGTTGCAGGAAAGCAACGTAAAAAGGCATCGAGCTTATATTTTTACTATGAATAAATCATTTTTCAGTAAGTTTTTAGATATGGTATCGATTTAATCAACAACTTTATTACAATATTTTTATGACTTGCAACTTTATTTCAAAATAATATTTTCAAAAATGGCAACTGTTGGTAAGTAGCTTTGAAGCGATTGTGGCGCACCGCGCCATTATTATCCTGAGGCCCCCTTATGATGTCATCAAAAGGGGAGTGACATGGGCCTGTTTCGGACCAAAAGACTGCCCCGCCCAAGCCCCGCCACTCAAAACAAAACTCAAGGACGTCCGGAACCGAAAACTCTCCCCGCGTTCGATGTCTCTCTGACGACGAAGATTCTACGCCGTCCGGCCAATCACGTTCCACAACCGCAGCCGAGCCCCCGCTGACCTTGAACGGGATTGGCCGGACGACATAGAATCTTCGTCGTCCGAGAGACATCGAACGCGGGGTCTATTATGTTGGAGGGTCCGAGTTTGTCAACGTCTCCATGGAAACCCAATTTGACACGTGTGCTTTCAGCACGCTACTACCGGCCGTGAAACACCGCCCCATTGACGCGGTACGAATGCGACGATGGCTACCAAATGCTGCTGTCTTGACTCTGGTATAAACAAAGCAAAAAAAAATTCGCGTCATTTTTTTTTTACAACGCATTCTTATGTACGGTAGGTAATTCAAAAATAATAATAATGCGCTCAAAGAATCGTGATAGTGATGCCAGTACCAACTTTGGTTGGGGGTGCCCAGAGCACCTTGGGGGTGCCCAACTCAGCATTGGGGGTGCCCGGGCACCCCCAAAAGTATACAAATCGACACCTATGACGAGTAGTCATGGACAAAAAAGAAGAGACAGAAGATTGCATGCAGTAAGACACAAGTCACCCAACGGTCAACAGAGCTATGCTGCAGCTCTTCATAGTTCCGGTGGCTCTAACTGCAGATCATTGAGCGCCTTTCGGTCGACCTCTGACCTGTAGCTGCTGTCGAGGGGGCACCTAAGGCGGTTCGGCTGCTCGAGGACCGAGGGGTCTCCCGCCACGGAGACACAGAGAGGCGGTATTACTGTCCGACCTTCCTGGAAGCCATTACCGGCCACTGTATCCGAGCACTCGCCCCAGAGGAGCACTCGCCAGCCCCGTCCGCCGCACCAGCTTTTCCAGGACGAACGGTAAGTGGTTGTCGGGTGCATTTGGTTCCGGCAAATAGTGCAAGGTACCTAATTGATAAATGCATACAGTTTGTGGTAACTATGTGTAACTTGTTCATTTTTGATTACATATTGTGTTTTTGTGCGCTTCACAGATAACGAATATCTGGATGCATATTCATAAGCATATATCTTTGTACGCAGTGAGCAGAATGCAATATAATATGAAATGGCAAAATGCTGAACGAATTCATCATAACTACAAAATAAGTCAAATGAATAGACCGCTCCCAATAAGCAAACCAATGGTCGGACAGAATCCCATTGGGGATAAAACAGCGACCCTCAATCGACGGATCGCTAATTCCTCTGACGTCACGTGTTTTCACAGACAACACGGGAGCTGTCGGGGCCGACGGACCGGCATTGTGGCTCCGCCTGTCCGCCGGCGGCCCGTTTGTTGATTCAGGTGAGAGCCGGCCGCTGTAGATCCGATAATGTCGGCTACTAACCTCGGCCGTCACATAGTGCGGCCGAGAGAACTGTGGGGAGCGTCACTCAGGAATGGATGGGCGCGCCTGACCGCCCCCCCCCCCCTCCCCCGACCGCCCCCGACCGCCGCCCCCGACCACCGCCGGCCGGCAGTCCCAGTGGCATTGTTCCCAGCACCAGATCACTTTTTGCAGTGGTGCATGCTGTGAGAAAAAGGCGAATACCGTGCTTGAGACGCTCACCGTGCAACCGATCAGATATCGAGCAAGAACGGCCCACGGGCGGCTCCGGTGGCGCACCCCTGTACACGGGGCGACACAGCGTCATTTTCGCCGCGGGAGGCGTCCAGTGACAACGGCGAAACCATTCATCTCACCAGAGGTTTTGTTAGGCTTCTTATGCCAGGTGTCTGCGCAAGGATATTTTGTTATTATTTAGACATTTTTGCATAGTGAAGCACCTCGCTTCTTCTTGTCAACCATTTTTTTTCTTTTCCATGTCCGAAAGAAATGATTACCAACTGTACCTATAACAACTAAAAAGGCGTTCAAAGTGGTGTAAGAAGAATCAATTACTTGGAATTGAATCGTAAGCATTTTTGACACCAATACCTAAAAACCATGAAAAGCACATTTGCATCCAAGTTGCAATTTATAAAAAAAAAAAAATTGGAAGCATTCTTTTCTGAGCATTCCTTTTAGTTTTCACTAACAAAGTGCATATTCACTACCTTTGCATTATGCATAATCACTCAGCTCAAGACTATGGTCATCAGAACGGTTAAACAATGATCGATCTGTCAAGAGGTAACGACTCATTGCAAAATATTCCATCAGTAATGTGCAGCTTCAAACATACAATAATATAAATGATCTGCGTTTCTACATTCCATCCACGATAATCATTTGGAGTGATGAGCTGTTCGTGAGGGTGTTTAGCAGCTATACCAAATTAATGATATGACTATGATTTGATAGATAAACTAGGCCTTTACTAGAGGGACCAAAGCACCATTCAAATAAGCTGGTATCGTTTATGCGAAGGTACATATATGTTGATTGCGATCCTACAATATGCTACATACGCACATATCGTGATGGAAGTTAGAGGTGCATATTTTTAAACCATGTAATGCATCATCGACTGGACTTGGCCATCTGACGTGGTCTCTCCCAAATAAGAGTTTCAATTAAATTTTGGAAGCTGTGCTGTCTGTAACATATAACGCCTCATAACATTCTCAGCTGTTGATATACACGTATTTCCGTGGGGCCATGAAAACTGTTCGCTCTTGGAATATCAAATTTAACGAACCTCATATCCGTGCACCGAACCATGTTTGGAAAGATTGCTCTCGGAAGCGCAATGTCGTTTCGATTCGAGGGGTGCCAGGGCTTAGGGTGAAAGATGCCGTTTGGTACAGCCTGCAGTTCTATTTCGAGACCATTTTATGATGGCAAAATTTCCAAGTCAATGGCTCTTTTTCTCCATGATGGGAACGCACTGAATCAAGTTCCTAGTGCAATATATTCATTTTGAAATATGATCACTGCACGTGCCCGGGTTCGCAAGGACATTTCACAGCGGAGCCTCCGATCGTAACCCCATCAGAATTCGCGTGAGGTGTGAGCCAAAGATCCAATTGATTCTCTGTGACGAAGAAGCGTTCCCACTCCTCAGAGCAGAGAACGAGGCTCGTTGAAGCTACAAAAGGTTCTCATACATTCTCATCACAAGTTTGCCATTGACATCTGAGGGAAGACTGCTTATCTATCTTTCTGCAATATGCAATACAGAGACATAGTGCCACACTCATGACTGACGAAAATCGCTTATAGCTAAATGGACGACGGATAAGCGGCGTCGTCCGTCCAAATAGATGTTCGTACCCTATCTGGAGATCGACGAGGATGGAGGACCATTTACGTTTGGACCGCCCTGCTCTGGCTCCCTCTCTTGCTTCCCTGCCGACCACATTGTCAGCTGGTTGGGCCCCTCCGAGCCCGTCTCACACCTCCCTCGTTTCCCGCGCCCGTCTCGGCCCGGCTCCACGCCTCTGCCGTCTTTGGTCGGACGCCAGCATAATTGGTGAACGGCGGCTCGTCTCATGTCGCCAGAGACCGCTAATTTACCCTGTCCGTGCCTGATGTGTTGTCGGCGGGCCGGACTGTGGGGCCGGTTGCCGCCGCCGCTGCCGCCGCTGCCGCCGCCGCCCCACAGCTGGGCCGCTGTCCGACCGGCCCACCTCCTTCTTCCCTCCTCCCCCCTCACCACACCCAGTTGGCCCGTGAAACCGAAAATGGCCCGGGCGCCCGCCCCACCAATTATTGCACTTTTACCGGGGCCCGATCGCGCCAGATGTAATTGCTGGCTGGCCCGTCGGCCGACACGCACTAGCCGCAAATGAGATGGATGGAAAATAATGTGTTGTGCTGTTGCTGTCAGATACTGAGAGGAGAAATTCGGGACGTTTATAGTACGTCGCGTAATGACTTCTGGCCCATCAGTCAAAGAGGCGTAGAAATGTCCATGTGAGCGTGTAATGATGGATTTGGCTCGATGTGCAATTAAGTTGTTATCAGATCTGAAATGTAATTGCGCATTTCTACTTGTTTAGTGCCTCAAGAGAGTAAGCTACGTATTTCTCATGCCTGTATTTCTAAGCTGAAATCTTCCAGTAGGTATGTGCCAGACTTTGGTTCTGCGGTGTTTGTTTCAGCTGGGAATTAAATACTGCGTTACCGCTTTGATCTCTTGTAAAATACGGTTGCATAATGCGTGTTTTGAATGTTCGGGACAGTGATAATATTGGTGTTAGGGGAAACGACTCTACTTTTGATTCAATTCAATTGAATACATAATGGAAACGATTTCCAAGCTGCCTCAGCAGCCAGATTGTTCATGAGGAATCCACCTGCAGAAACAAATTGTCGCTGGTTTCAAAGCGTTTGTATGCTTATCACCGTCTATGACAGCGTGTAACACCACATTTCAAGCCAGCTGTCAGAAAAAGCACTTAGCCGTAATGGTCTGAATGTTACATGGCACGGCCGATGGCAGCCGGCCTGCAGAGAGCGCCGTGAGTGGGCCCATCTCGGGCGCGTTAACATAACTCGTGAGTGCACTTCAAACCGGCACTACCGCGGCGTTTCGCCGCCGGATCGTATATACGCTGATCTCAGGAGCGGAACATGCTCGTCAGCAACAAAGACGGCCGCCATTTGGTGAGGACTCACTCAGTGCCAGTTCCACACACAGATTTGCTGTCCTCAGCCCGGCACAGGCACTGTATGCAGGTATGAGTGAGAGTCCGCTATAAGAATGAGTGCCTTATCATCTAACACCGGCATCACTCGGTTGGTGACCGCACGAGCTCCACATTCCGTACACATGATCCGTGACTCCTGAGAGGATTACATCCATTAACCTATTCATTGTCCCCTCACATTCACGTGCCGGACGTACCGCTTTCCACAGTCGCGGCACGACGATCCTCCTCCCACCACGGAGCCCCGCGGCGCGACGACCGGCCAGCGGCTAGGAACCTCGGTACGCTCCGATTGACGAGCGTGACCGTCTTTCTGCTGAGTTGTTCCCAAGTCATCCTTGGTTTCGTTCATGTGTATGGTGTAAATATAAGTCAGAGACGAAGATGTTTCTTTTTCTTTCTTTCTTTTTTTGCAATTTGATGGTGCTATGTGCATTAGAAGACGAAACAGTCAGGCCTAATGTATCTAATTCCCTTTACAGTTGAGGCTATTAGCTGAGTTATATGTAAGTGACAAGTCTCGGCAGCCGGTAAATCGGTAGGTGTTCTCCGTCTCTTCAGTATCCACTATCCAGCCCCCAGTTTACCCGTTTTCCCACACCGAGTCCGTCCGTAGCTCGCTGAGACCTACCGATGCACTGTGTTTACCTGGCTCGGCCGGCGCCGTTTGTACTTGCAGCCTACAGAGTGTGCAACAGGCCACACCGGCACGGCAAACACCGGTCTCTCGGGGGATTGTGAGTTACCCAAACTGCGCCGCCCGGTGCGGCGCAGTGTGCGGCGATGGCCGAATGGAAACGCTAAGTCATAGGTATCACAAACTTGCCTAGCAAACCAAACAATTACCAAGGCATGTAATACCGAGAAAAGCAGAAAGAGGTGAACATTGAAAGGAGTTGAAAGGGTGTAAGCAAAGTCATTTTCTTCTTAAATACCTATTTTAAAACGACCAGCGCCAAAGTGCGCTGTTCTTATACCGGTATAAATGCAGTATCTTTCTACATAGATCCTGACCTTTAGTAAAGAACCTGCCGTAAGTTTGTTCCGACACTTCATCTGAGTTTCTACTTTCTAGCTCGCCAGCCGTAAAAGCTACTTTCTAAGATAGCGCCGTGTCTGAGCGGTAGCTTCTTTCAGACCGTGAGGCCATCAACAGCGATACGATGATGAAGGTGCGCCGCTATAGTCTCCCTGCGCCGGGTACGCCGCGCTAGCTGCTGTCAACTTTACGGCCTCTCTGTTTGCCGTTATATGCATTATAAATCCCACCAATCCGTGTCGGATGCTTACATCTCGCCTGGTCTCACAAGCGGAAAGAAGCCGTCATAAAACATGCCTTTTGATCTCTGACTTTGAAAATTGTGCGGTATTTCTGGAGAAATATTTTTTCACGATATTTTAAAATTACACTCAAAGTAACGTTACTCAGCCCCAGAAGTGTTTGACGGAAGGAGGTGTGACTGGTCCAGTTTGTGTTCTGGCTGGGTGTGATCTGACCACCCATCTGTCTTCACTCTCCGCCCACTCTTTCCCCGGTCAGACGAGGCTCGCTGGGTGCCGTAATTCGCGCTCTAGCGATCTCGGCCCTAAGCGCATGCTCGTACTATTTAAATCCCTCCCTAATTAGCTTTCTTATCTCAGCCCTCAGCTGCGCGCCCGCGCGTTAATTGTTTAAACCTTCCAACCGACTGTGACTTGCAGTTGGCCGGCCGAAATGGACTCTTCACGAATGAAAACGCTGCATCGGCGCCTCAAGAGTCAAAAGCTAGGGGCTGATTACTGTTGTTTTTACGAGTCATTTGGGCCATGTAGTCTGGACTCTTTGTATAAACCTAAAAGCGTGATGCAATACGCTCGAAATGACTTGATTGTGGCACTTGTGATTTCGTAACTGTGACTAAAAGGAACTGATTGTCAGGTAACAAAATGTCAGCATGAGGCAGCAAGCACACTTAAAGTCGTGTGTCATCAGTCACACCATTCACATATAAGGACACACAGTCCCAATTGCAATTTCTAGAAGTTCCCTGACTGTTCAGTGAAAACCAAAACGATTCTCTATTCCCTTTGATCATGGTGTGTCATGCTCCTATAACTCTGCCGTTTTCCTGGCGGAATGCCCTTAAGATGCTCAAATGATTCCTCAAATGATTCCTTTTAAGCATATTAGGGGTTTTGGTCTAAAACAACACCCTGATGAACATACCCAAACTATACCCCTATTCTTTAAAGACCTCCCTTGAATTCTTCTAATATACCCTAGTGTACAGTCTCTGCCGCTATTGTCAGATACCGTACCTGTGCCGCTCGGCGCCTCCGGCGGTGACCGGTCGGCGGGCCGGGACTGGCCGGCCGGGCGGGCGGGGAGGACGGGCAGTCGCTCCCTGGACGTGTTGCTGACCACTAATACAGCACCAAACGCGGTGCCGTCTTCGCTGAGTGCGTGTGAGCGGTGCGACGACATAACAGGCAGCTATAAGCTTGTTTTGACGCGCGGTATGGGCAGCTATGTATAACTGCAGTCGCGGCGCAAGTGCGTTTGAGCCAGGTGATTCGCAACCGCCACCCAATGAGCATACTGCAATCCAGTGCCGGCAGTGACGTACATGACACGTGATCAGACAGCTGGGCCGAAAGCGCGCCAATTTTCAAAGGGTTTGAGCGCGCCAGTTGAGTTTGAGCGTGCAGTGGAAAAGGATGGTTGTGCTCAGCGAGGGTGATAGCGGGTGTGTAGTGTGTGCATTGATCATTCGAGCAAAGGACGTCGTGGAGGACATCGAAAGTCGTGGCAGGAATCGAGGAGCTCCCGGTGGAGCCCATGGCATTCTACAACTGCGACCCGCCATGGCTGGGCCACCGCGGCGGCACCACCTTCAGGGTGGACCTGCCCGTGGCCACCCGCCGGTCGGACCCGCCTGCAGTCCGCAGGGAAGCTGCCCTGCGAGCCATTGCAGAGCTCCCGCAACCGGATATCACTATCTGGTCGGACGGCTCGGCCCGCGGCGGGACGGAACAGGGCGGCGCAGGCGCGCTGATCCAGTTCCACCACCTCAACAAAGAAGAAACCGTGCGCGCTCCTGCAGGGGCGGTCTGCTCCAGTCTGAGAGCTGAACTGACCGCCATGCGCGAGGCGCTCGCGGCTGTGGCCGGCCTGGAAGACGGGGAGCTGGCTTCGACCAAGTCGGTCCGCCTCCTCACCGACTCAAGGTCTGGGCTGCAACTACTCGGCCGCGGCCCAGCCAACCAGACCATGGCCCTGGCCGCCGAGGTCTGGAGGCTGCTGAACACCCTCGCCGAGAACGGCACCGAGACGGTGCTCCAGTGGGTGCCAGGCCATGCCGGGCTGGACGGCAACGAGACCGCCGACCGCCTGGCTGGCGAGGCCGCGGCGGGCGACCAAGATAGTGCACCAATCGACCTTTCGAGCGCGCGGGCCGCCGTCACGCGCCATGTCCGGGAGCTGTCGCGACGGAGGACAACCGCTGCCCACCCGCACCCGGACCCCACGCCTGGCCACGACTCCCTGGCGCGCTGGGGGTCGGTGACGCTGTCCCAGCTGAGGACCGGCACATCACCGCTGACCCGCGACACGCTCTACAAGATTGGCCTGGCAGCCAACGACGAATGCCCCGCGTGCGGGGAGCCCGACAGCGTGACGCACCTGCTGACCGACTGTCCGGCCTATGAGGCGGCCCGCCGCCGCCGCTGGGGTGTCGACCCTCGCCTGGTCGACGTCCTCGGCGGCCCGGCGGCGAGGGTCGTCGACTTCATCGAGGGTGTCGGGCGGACCGAGCCGCCGCTCGACCCACCTGCGCCGCCGCCCCCCTGAGCGGGCTGGCGGCGGGATGCAGGAGAAGAAGAAGAAGGACATCGAAAGCACAGCTGTGGAACCCAAAAAAAGACGAAACCTGCACGACAACGACTTTTCGGCGTGCCGGAAACCGGAAAATTCACCCAAGAGACCCTTGGTGGGCGTGTTTGCCCGCACCCGGTGTAGATCTGCATGACTATTTTACGGTCAGCGCCCGGACCCGAGCAGTGCGCAGCATCTGGTCCTATTATCCCTTTTACAGGGTCCGACATATAAGCTTTGTCTTGTAAAAATGTGTCGTGTAAGCTGCTAGGTGAAAGTCAGCAATTGTTACAGGATATGCAATGCTCTAATGCCATCTCTTTGGTAATGAACAGTTATTCAACATACACGCCATTTTTGCGTAGCTGAAACCACCGTTGATTTTCGTGTTTTATAACCGAAATAGATATTAAATATCCATTCATGATGATCTCAGATTTACTTATCCCAAGTTGCGTCTTATCGGAAGAGAAACGGTGAAGCTATGTCCATGCTGTTGTCACCAATGTAAAGCATGAATAATAATAAAAGACCAAATGTCTGAGTTTTGGATGTGTTACGATATATAAAGGGAAATCGGACGAGGGAGCTGAGAGTAGTGGTGTCAATCGGTTACCAAAATTTCGGTATACCGATACCGAACCAATACCGATTCGGTATTCGGTATTTCATACCAAAAGCATTTGGTATTTTGTCGGTATTATGAAAGTCAACTACTGTCATAAAAAAAATTTGAAAACATTTTTTATAAACCTTCTGAACTCAAATTTGATTTGCTAAATGACATTGGATGAAGAAAAAGGACAATCATGCCACATTTCTCCCAAATGCATGATGTCATAAGAAATGGGCAAACACGTTAACTGTAACATCAAACACATCAGTCTACCAATGTTAAATGGCAACTTATCAGTGCTAGCAAATTCCAATACCATGAGGATAATTAATAATTATCTTACCCGGCCGGCTAAAGGTCGGACCGGCTCCGGCCGCCGCTGCCAGCCCACGGCGGGCCCGGGGAGGGGCACTACACTACATTCTGCCATTGTCGTGGCAACATGCCTGGTGAGGGCAAACACTGACATTATTTCTCTCCCATCAATATCAAAGTATTGCCCGATTATCTCGTCCAGCGCTGCCACCCGTCGAACGTTGCTCTCCCCAATTGTTCCTCCTAGGGATCGCCGCAGTCTGCCCCGCCGCAGTCTGCCCCGACACTAATGTTCCGTGATCATCGCCGGCTCTAATACGGTCCCATTAGTGTCATGCGGGGCAGCTGATGTAGATAGCGCAGGTGTAGTTACCTACCACCTACCTTGGTTGTTTTCTCTTTTGGCGGAAACACGGTCTCAACTTCCCCTCCTCGCTCGCCCAGGTGTCTGTGTCTGCCGATTCCTTCTTGCGTAGCT